TTTGCTTTTTTAAAAACAAATTCTTTGTTGGCTGGGTGCAGTGGCTCATGGAGGTCAAGGTGGCTTTGAGAGGTCAAGACAGGAGGATCACTTAAGGCTAGGAGTTCAAGATCAGCTTGGTCAACAGGGTGAGACTCCATCTCCATAAAAAATATTTTAAAATTAGCCAGGCATGATGGTATTTGCCTGTAGTCCCAGCTAGTTGGGAGGCTGAGGTGGGAGGACTGCCTGAGTCCAGGAATTGGAGGCTGCGGCAAGCAATGATCACATCAGTGTACTCCAGCCTGTATGACAGTGGTCCCATCTCTTTAAAAAAAAAAATCTTTTGTTGTCAGCCATGGTAGTATATGCCTCTAGTCCCAGCTACTTGGGAGACTGAGGCAGAAGGGTCACTTGAGCCCAGGAGTTCAAGTCCAACCTGGGCAATATAGCAAGACCCCATCTCTAAAATCAGGCAAACAAATCTTTTGTTCATTTGTATCCATATATGTGTGTTCTGGGTCACAGTATAAGATATATATTTTTTCTTATCATAGCCAAACATGTTTGTAAGCCAATGCTTGCCACCTTATGGAGTAAACTTTACCTTAGAGGCAATGGTAAAAAAAAGTTTCATGCTAGAAAATGGTAAAATCTGATTTGTGTGTTTATGTAAGAGAGAGAAAGAGAGTAAGAGAGTGTGTATGTGTGTATGGTATGTTTTCTTTATTTTTGTTTGTGTTTTGGAAAGATTACTCATGCAGCAAAGTTGAGAATAGATTAGAGGGGGACAAGACTGGAACCAGGAATCCATATAATTGGCTATTGTTTAACTGAGGCAAGAGAAGATGATTAGTATGGTATTGGAGGTGGCTATAGGAATGGAGGGTTGAATTGACAGGATTTGGTAACTGATGAGCTGTGGCAATGATGACAGAGAAAGCATCAAGGCTTATGCTGGCCTTGGTCAGATGGTGATGCTATTCACTAAAGCAATGAATATAGAACAGAGCACATCTAGGGAGGGGGAGTTAAGTTCATTTCTGAAGATGTTTCCACTGATCTGATGTGAAGCCAATGGTTAGCAAATACTTGGATATGCAGCCCTAGATCCAAGAGGAGAGGTCCAGGCCAAAAAGTTAACTGAGGACTGATCATCACAGTGATCAATGAAGCTACTGGCTCCAGAAAGATGCTGTAAAGATAAAAGATCTAAAGGATGAACAGAGAAAAATGACTCTGGTAGAGAAGACTGAAGGGGCTCCCAAAGGACAGGAGGAAAACTGGAGAATGTGGCTTCTCAGAAGCAATAAGAAAAAGTGTCTTAAAATGTAATGAGTGACTCAACAGTAAGAAAACAAACAACCTGATTTGAAAATGACCAAAAGACCTGAAGAGACACCTCAACAAAGTATATAGATGGCAAATAAGCATATGAAAAGGGGCTCATCATCATACATTACAGAAATTAAAACAACAATGAAACACTACTACACACCTATGAGAGTGGCAAAAATCCAAAATGCTGACACCACCAAATGCTGATGAGGATGTGGCGCAACAGAGGCTCTCATTCATTTCTGGCAGGAACACAAAATAACACAGCCACTTTGGAAGAGAGTTTTCTTATAAAACTATCCATGCTCTTACCATATGATCCAGGAATTGCACTCATTGGTATTTGCCCAAATGAGTTAAAAATTTATGTCCACGCAAAAACCTGCACGAGGATGTTACAGTAGCTTTATTTATAATGGTCAAAACATAGAAGCAACCAAGGTGTCATCAGTAGGTGAAAGGATAAATTGTGGTACATCCAGGTAATGAAATATTATTCAGTGCTAAAAAGAAATGGGCTCTCAAGTCATGAAGAAACATGGAGGAATCTTATTGCATATTACTATTTGAAAAACACCAATCTGAAAAAGCTACACGCTGTATGTTTCTGGCCACATGACATTCTGGAAAAGGAAAAACTTGTGGAGACAGTGAAAGGATCAATGGTTGCGGGGGCTTAGGGAGAAATGGATAAACAGAGCACAGAGGATTTTGGGAGCAGTGAAACAATTTTATACGACATTATAATAGTGAATACATGTCACTATACATTTGTCAAAACCCACAGACTGTATAACACTGAGAGAAAACCCTAATGTAAGTGATGGACTTTGGGTGATAATGCATGTTCATTCATTGTAACAAATGTACCACTCTGGTGGGGAACATTGATAAAGACAGGGAGTTTGAGACCAGCCTGGACAACTTGGCAAAACCCCATCTCTGTCAAAAATAAATAAATAAATAAATAACAAAAATTAGTCAGGCATAGTGGTATATGCCTGTAGCTCCAGCTACTTGGGAGGTTAAGGGAGGATCACTTGAGCCTGGGAAGTCAAGCTGCAGTGAGCCATGATGGCACCACTGCACTCCAACCTGGGCAACAGGGCAAGACCAAGGGGGGGGGGAAAGGAGGGAGGGGGAAAAGGAAGGGGCGGAAGGGAGGGAGGGAGGGAGGGAGGGAGAAGAGTTAACCACTGCTTGGCAGTGATTAAGAAAGAGACTAAGGATAGGCAGTTGATCAATAATGAGATCACTGGTGACCCTGGCCAGGGCAATACTGAACCACTTCTCTGCTTCCTTTTATAGTAAGCTGGAAAGAGTGTGTCTACTTCCTTTGTCTATTTTCCTTCTATTCCTTTTCTGTTGCAGCCACATGATTTAGGCTTTGCTTCTGTCCCTCTGCCAAAAGTGTACTTCAGAATCATTAATGATCTTGGAAGGCGAGCGAGGGAGGGAATAAAAAAGAAACAAAATCATTAATGATCTCCACGTTTCTAAATGCAGCATTCAGTTCTCAGTCCTCTTACCTGACTTGGCAGCTCCTCACTCCCTCCTCCCTCCTCCTGGGAACAGTTTCTTCACTTGTGTCCTAGCACAGCAGGCCCTTTGGCTCACCCTACCAGCCACTCTTACGATCCCTTTTCACCCGCCTCATCTCTAAATATCGGTATGTTCCAGAGCTTAATCTGTGGACCTTTTCTCTTCTCTGTAACCACTATCTAGAAAGTGAGCTCACCTCGTGGCTTTAACTATGATCTATATACACTGAGGATTCCAAATACACATCCCTAACCCAGAACTCATTCCTAAATGCAACTGCCTATTCAAAATCTTGATGCTGATGTCTGATGTGCACCTCAAACTTGACATGTCTGAAATATGTCTCTGACATGTAAGTATTCTTCCCCAGTCATCCCCAGCTCAGTTAGCAATAAGTCCATCTTTCCATTTGCTCCGGACAGAAACTCTGGAGTCTTTCTTTCGTATCAAATCCAACACTAAATGTTATTGGAGCCAAACTGCCTGGGTTCAAATTCTGCTTCAGCCACTTGGTAGCTGTGTTATCTTGGGAAAATTGCCTAATCTCTGGCTTCAGTTTTATCACCAGTAAAATAATAATCTTATGTATCTCATAGGGTTGTTACTATTTGTGAAGTGCTTTGAACAGTGCCTGCCACACAGTATGTAGCATCTCTTGAATCCGATCACTTCTTACCATCTCTACCCTGACACCCCAGACTGAGAACCAGCCGCCAACATCTCTCATCTGGCTATTGTAAAAAGTCTCCTCCTAAGTGGTCTCCTTCCTTCAGCCCTTGTTCCTTTCAACCTACTGGCAACATAGCAGCCAAAGCGATCTTTTTTAAACAAAAGTCACTGCATAATTTTTTCACCTTTTTAGTATGTTTGAAATTTTTCATAAGACAATTTAGAAAAAACAAAAGTCAGATTACATCACTCCCGTCAAAACCCTTCAATCCTGTACACTTCAGTCAGAGTAAAATCTAAAGTCTTATGCTAGCTTGGCCCCAAAATTAAGCTCCCTCTTACTTCTCTGACCTCATCTCTCTTCCTCATCTCTCATCGCTCCTTTCTTCCAGGCACGCAGGCCTCCTTCCTGTTCCTTCACTCAGCCATGCTCCCTCCCCGCAGCCTCTGCGCTGACCCCTCAACAGCCGGGGGGGGGGGGGTGGTGCTCTTCCCCTGGACTGCACAGTGTTCACCTTCACCTTCTTTCAGCCTTTGCTGAAAGGTTACTTTCTCCATGAAGGGGTTTCATGTAGCTTACCACCCACTATCCTAACTCCTTCTCTACCGTATTTTTCTCACAGCATTTAGCACTATCTTATATACTATGAAGTCATCAGTTCGAAGGAGACAAGTTAAATCTACTCCAAGGTTCACCTCTTTATTCTAAAATGCAATTTCCATGGGCTCGCACTTGGTTGTTAAACCCAGTGGACACATGTTCTTCCTTAAAATGAAAACAGATGATTAAGCAAAACTATGTGACTTTTTGCATTATCTCTAAAATGTTCCCTTCTTATATGCAAATAAATGTTGATAAAATACTGCTAATTCTGGGTATCTAGTATCTATTTTCAATGTTAAATTTTTCCATGACTTAGCTCTTACTATCCACTTATTAAAGAAATTTTTAAATTGATTCTGGAGGACAAAGAGCACAGAAATAGGAAATAAAGCAGTAGCAAGACTAAGATGCAAAGCCTCCTTTCTCCTTGGCATTTAAAACCACACTGCAATGAGAACTCAATAAGGGGAAACATCCTGAAAAAGGGTAGGAGGATGACAGAAGTGAAACAAAAAAATTTATTTCATTACTGCTATGCCATGGGCCTACTGAGTCTTTACATACATTATCTCATTTAATCTTTAAGTAACTGCAGCCCTCACAAAACTCTCAGCCAATTTATAAATGAGGAAACTAAAGCTCAGACAGACTTAGGGCCCAGATTCAAACCCGGGTAGCGCTATCTGATGCTAAAACCTGTGTACTGCACTCTGTTTCTACAGAACCTTGCCTCCTGGAGGCATCAGGTCAGCAAGCTGGAGTTAAAAAAGGTTATAAGTAGGCCATTTATACTCTGTCACTAAATTCTGGGATAACTCAGTGGGTCTAACTTTCACGAACCCATTCATAGCTGTGTGGACTCTCTTACCTGTGGACATAAAAAATGGGATGCGGAACTTTCCACTCAGCACACGGGCCCGCAGATTCTGCAGTGTGCTCCCATCAAACGGCAGGGCACCACACACAAGCACATAGAGGACAACTCCAAGGCTCTGCAATCCAAACAGAGAGGATGCACAATTAATCCCAACAGAGGAAACAAAAACCACCACTGTAGTGTGTGTATGCAGATGATGGTGAGTCATGCATAAGGTTATGGAACAAACTTTTTCTTCTATCTTAGAACAGTTAACAATCTTCTTTGCTTCTAGGCATTAATTTAGGGTAACATCCTGAATTTTTCTCAGTACTCATTCTCTGGAGATAAAGTAAGTGGCCACAGTAGAAAGAATCTCTGTTCTTGGCAAGGGCCCCCATTCAGGCTGGCCCTTGGTTCTTTTGCAGATGCCAAGGGGAAATTTGAAATCTGTGTCTCAGTCCATAACGTAAGTATTGAAGGAAAGACTGCACAAGCAGGCAGGGCACGGTGGCTCACACCTACAGTCCCAACACTTTGGAAGACCAAGGCAGGAAGATCACCTGAGGTCAGGAGTTTGAGACCAACCTGGCCAACATGGAGAAACGCTGTCTCTACTAAAAATACAAAAATTAGCGGGGTGTCATAGCGTGTGTCTGTAATCCCAGCTAGTTGGGAGGTTGAGGCAGGAGAATCACTTGAATCTGGGAGGTGGAGGTTGCAGTGGGCCAAGATTGCACTGATACCCTCCAGCCTGGGTAACAGAATGAGACTACGTTTCAAAAAAAAAAAAAAAAAAAAAAAAAAAAAAAAAAAAAAAAAAAAAAAAAAGACTGCACAAGGAATTGGGACCTGAAAGAACAGGTGACCAGGATCTCAATTCATGTGTATCACATGTACCCTCCAGGATGAGAACAACTGTCATCAACCAAGGGTAGCTAAAGCTGTGGGGTATAAGAGAAGGCAGTTACCTACCCAGATGTCCACTTTGGGCCCATCATATTCTTTTCCTTCAAATAGTTCAGGTGCAGCATAGGGAGGGCTGCCACACCATGTCTTCAGCAGCTGCCCAGGAGTGAAGAGGTTACTGAAACCAAAATCTAGAAAGGCAGGGTGACATAATTAATATTATTGTAACCTTTTATTGTAACTGAGCAAACACTAGTCTCTAGTCACTAAAGATTCCAAATCATTAAGTGTGAATATTAAATGCAAAAAGAGAACACTTAGAAACCACATAGCCAGACACTTAAAAAATAACAGTGAAACAGAGATACAGATGAGCTAAAATACAAAGATAAACATGATCAGTTTATGTCAGCAGAAATGGTACAGCTCCCTTCGTAAACCTAGGCAGAAAAAGGCGAATGGTACTTGTTCCTTTAAGAATGCAAATGAAACTGGATGATGTTAAGACCACATTAGAATCAGGAAACACATGTAAGCCTATTCAAGTAATTCACACCCAGAATTTCTGTGTTATTTTTACTTCTTATGACAAACACATCTATGACAATTTAAAAACTAGACAGTGATATTAATTATAATTAAGGTAGTTTATTCAAAAGGAAGAATATACGATTTACTTAAAATTAAAATGTAAGCAAGAATGTAAGCAAGAATGCTTACATTTTAATTTTAACTCCCCTTGTGCTTCAATTTCCCTTCCTTCTTCTCTCTCCCTCCTACTGCTGTAAGAGGCATTAGATGGGAGGTAGAAGGGATGAGTCTTTGGGAGACACACTAACACAATGAGCAAGGACGGCCAGCCAAAGGACTGAGTCTTTGGTGTAGAAATGCTGTTATTTATGTATGCATGCCCATGTGACAGGCTAGAAATCCCTCACGCCCCAGGTACACACCATGCTCCCTGCAATCACAGCATCTGAAAATGCTAAGTACCCACCTACTCTCTAAATTCTTCCCTCTCTTTTCTAGTTTTATTCTTGTTGACAACTCTCCTTTTGCTACCTTCTATAGAAGGTGTTTTCCAGCAAGCTCTGCTGATTTTAACTGCCTCTCCTCACTGGATGTTTTCTCAGGGCTCTCCTTTGATCTCATCACTTCCACTAGCATTTGTTTGGGGATAATTCCCCAAATTTATATGTCTGGCCCTGGTACCACTCTTAAGTTCCTGGCATGAATCCCCAATACTTGCTTGGGAAGAAAGCCTCAACCCCACCATTTTTCCAAAGTCATACCTGTGCTTTTAGTGCTCCTATCCTCATTAGTGACATTACCACCCGTGTTACTAGAAACACTGCAGTCATCTTTAAATCCTGTCTCCCTCTCATTTCCCAGCTCAGGCTGCTAATACAACTCTCACTGCTTCAACTCTGTGTGTCTTGAATCCACCTCCTCTGTTCTATTTCCATTTCTGCCACTGTAGTTCATACTCTCATCATCGCTAGCTTAGACTGATGCTATTGCTTACTTCCTGTCTATTTCACTTCCCCCTAAGCCATGCATTCATAGCACAATTACACAAACCAGAGCCTGTTACCTCGCTGCTCAAAAACATGGGCTGGCTACCTTCTACTTACAGAAGCGTCTTCATCTCAGCACTATCATTTAAGGCCCTTCACAACCCAGCTCCATCCAATCTTTCCAATTTATCCCCGGCCATGCTAGCATCACTAGACCATTCACATCCTGTGTTTACATGCCTTCCCTATGCTATTTCCTCTCTGTGTCATGCCTTTTCCTTTCTTTTCCATCTTCAAAATATCACTCATTTTCAAGGCCCAGTCAAATATTACTTCCTATATGAGGTACAGGAACTGATTTCTACCAGAAAACACCATGTCAATGGCTTCCTCCTCTGTGCTTCCACAGTCTTTTTTTTTTTTTTTTAACGCCTCTACATCCCATTAGCACTCTGCCTTATATTATACTTAATTGTATTATGTGTTTATACCCTCCACTAATTAGTAAATGGAGGAGATACTGTTTTCTTTTTCTAAAGAAAAAGATGTCGTTTTCTAAACACTGGTTCTAATACATAGCAGAGACTCAAGAAAGGGTCATGAAATTAAACTCACTGGGCAATAAAAACACTGGACCATTTCCTCTCATCACCTTCTGACTACTGGAGACTTCTCAAACTGACAATGGCAGCTGGCCAACAATGAGAGCCTCTGTTTCCTAGCTGTCCCTCCCAAGGTTCTAAAATTAACTTAATGATCATAAGAGGTGTGGCAGTCAGGACCACAGATAGAATCATTATAGCTTCTTCTATGAGAAGACAAATATTCTCATTCATTAATGAAAATAAATAATACTTCTGTGAATTCTCCATGGATCCCCTACAAGAAATGTCCCCTATCTACTCTCTTTATTATTTGAATACATATATAACCTATTCTTCTAGCTCCTGAAAAACACCCTCTCCTGTGAAGATCTAGCCTCTCTCTCTAGTTCCTTAAGGACACCGTATTCTTCTCTCTTGCACAGTATCTAACAGTGTTTAACGAAGTGGGCACTTAATAAATGCTGACTATGAACAAAACTGCATTTAACGCTCTACCAACTAACCTACAACTTTTGAAACACTGTTACTTTCACTTAAAAATTAAAGTCTGCACATACAAGTCACCAATAAGATTTTTTCTTAGGAGAGTGGGGACACGTTGCTAAAAATCCCAACAAATGAGATTCAGCAAAGTTGACGTCTCTGGAAATTATCCAGAAAGAAGATGCTTAGGTTTGCAAAAATAAAAAAATAGAAAAAAGATCCTTAGGTTTGCAAAAACCTTCACCAGATCCTTTTCCACGATCAGCCTCCCTCTTCTCCACAGTGCAGAGGAAAAATGCGAATAATTCTGTTCTGCCTGATGGATTTGGACACTGGAATGACTGAATAACAAACTCTAGAAGAATCACGGAGTTTTTTGTTTGTGTTTTCAATGCAGCATACAACAGGCTAAGCAATGAATTTAAACCAGTTGAGTTTAAATTTTCCTATAAGCAGTTAAAATGAACAGATTTCATTTTGAACCACTAATGTTCAGTAACCTTTCTAGCATTTTACTTTGCCAGGGAGGAGAAGGCGCAAACTTAATAGCATGAGCTTGTTATTTTATCTACCAAACAGGAAATCGTTACAAAGAAAACAACATCAAAAGAAACCAGCTTCAGCAATGTCTGCAGGCTTAGACTGCTACTAGTTAGTAGGTTTTATATGAGAAATGAGTGTATGACAATGAACGATATATTAGGGCTAGACAACTAGAGAGGGCCACATCTGCAGAAGCACCTGCTTCCACTATGTTACATCCAAACAGCTGGCTTCATCAACCAAATACTACTGGCTTGCTCTCATCTATTATGCACCAAACAAAATCCTCTAGTCTTGGAAACCTGTCAAGAGGTCTTCTATAATCTCATTCCAAGTACTGTTACTCCCACCTCTAAGGTGTTGTACATTCAAGCAAAATTTGCTATTCCTTGCCTACAAGACATCTTTTACCTCCCAAATACGGACAGATTCCTTTAGTTACTGAGCCTGCGGTATCCCAGTTCTTTCTTTAATGTACCAAACCTAACAGAATCTGACCTACCCTCCCTTTTCAACATACATATTTTTATAAATTGACGGTTTCGTTGAAAGCATATTGCTGTCTTCTCTTCCCTACCAGTGGCTCTTTATTTCACATTAATCTTCACCATTGCATCTTATAAGTTAAAATTCTGGCTAATTTGCTGCCCATTCAGCTATAACATAACTTACTTTCTGAACATTTACATTATCCATGTGGGAAAGCCTCAAATTATTACCATGTACTAAATCTGGAAGTCATTTTGAAAATTCAGTGCCTTCCAATCAATACTTCTGGGGCTGAATAACTGGGATGGAAAGAATACCTCCTCTTTATTCTCTTAGCTGCTTGCCTTTAGGGACATTTTGCTACACATTTTAAGAGGACTGGAAGGAGAAAATACAGTTAAACAAACTAGTCTATTTTAGGTTTTGTTGGTAGTTTAGCGATGTACTGGGGGAATGCTGGGGTGCGTGGTAGGAAATGGAGGTGGGGAACAGACAGACATGAAGCAGAATCACTAAGAGCTTTGCTGTTTTTAGTTATCCACATGTATAGACAACTGAAAAAAAATGGAAAGATCATCCAAGTTGGAGGAAAAAAAATTCTCATAACAAAAATTAAAGCAGTGAGTAAAAAAGAATGAGGAAGAATTCTCACTGGCCTAAGTCAGAAATGCCAAAGAAAAAGTAAAGAAAAACTTCTTTTTTTTTTTTTTTCCTTTGGGAGATGGAGTCTTGCTTTGTTTCCCAGGCTGGAGTGCAGTGGCACAATCATAGCTCACTGCAGCCTTTACCTCCTGGGCTCAAGCCATCTTTCTGCCTCAGCCTCCTAAGTAGCTGGGACTACAGGCAAACACCACTATGTCTAGCTATTTAAAATAAAATTTTTTGTAGTGATAGGGGTCTTGCTATGTTGTCCCAGCTGGTCTCAAACTCCTGGACCTTCCTAAGTGTTGGGATTACAAGCATCAGCCACTACACCCAGCCAAGAAAAGCTTTAGAGCTTAAGCTTGATCTGCAACTTGAACCTAGAAAATCATTTCTATTTAATAGGCTTGTTCATCTTATTTTGGCTCCGGAGCTGCTCTAATTCACAATGTCTTTCATTATTTACCAAAGCTTTTATTCTTAATGTCTTTTTTATATGTCTCTAAATAAGTTCCTCCATTTCCTTCGCTCATTTATATAACATGTATTTATGGAACCCTTCCAATGGGTATAGCAATATGTTAGTTCTTCTAACAAACCAAACGCATAAACGATGGTTCTAGGGAAAAGGCTCAAAGGAAGCAGAACTTGGTTGAATGGCCAGAATCTGGAGAGGCAAAGAAGGACGGTAGAAAGTGTGCTCTGAATGTCAGTCAGGAGGGAGCACGAGCAAGGGTAGAACATTTAGAATTAACTTGCTAAGTTCAAGTGACAAGCAAGACACTGCCTTGGGCATAATAAAGGGTTTGTAGGGACATATGGCAAGAAGGAAATGACAAATAGTAATGGTCTACAGGATGAAGTTCAAGGTCTTCATTCTGTCATTTGAAGCTGTATTTTATCTGGCCTGAT